ACCTTAGACTGCTGCAGCGGAGAGGGAGAGATGTTGGATGGACCGGAGCTGGCTTGGAGGATTGGGTATGCCCTCTAGTGTTGTTTCCATGCCATTCACTGAGAACAGTTAGTTATTATTTACATTTTTATACTGAACCAATAAACATTTTTCCTAATGGTAGTGCCCCTAGACAATCTGTTGTGTTTTCTGGCCCCCAACACAAAGCCTAGCTACAAATGTCTTTTTATTTTAGGGCCCACTTGTGTGTTGTGTTAATGCTCGCATTAATGTGCCTTGCCATGATGCATGGCACAGCAGCTTTTCTTTGTGTGGTGCATCAAGGTGCCATTCATTGTGAATGCCACCAAAACACGTTGTATATATAGTGCAATGCTTGACAGACTGCAGCACACAGCAACAAGATGCATGTATTGCTAAAACAGGCTCACGTGAGTTTCTTCATTTGTGGTGCTGCACTGGCAGTCCATTTACAATGAACTGGACACCCTAAAACAATGCGCATCAACAGTTAACACCTGTGCATTAACGCACTGCAGAAGATCGCTTAGGTGTGAATAGGCCCTTAAAGTATAACTAAAGGCAATTTTCTTTGTAATGAGTGGTGAGAACCACTGACAAGTTTTTATTGCTATCTGTGTCCTCCTTAGGGATATTCACTTTCTCTAACTGTCCTAAACACCAATGTCACCAGGAATGAAAGTGATGGTAAATCCAAAATTGTGAGATCTCCTGTCAGTTAGTAAACTTAATGTGAGATTGTAGTCCATCATGCAAGCGAGTTTGGAGCGGTGCCTACTTTATAACACACACAGGGACCACAGGGAGCAAAAGTAGCCACCCTCCAGAAAAAAGGAAAGTGTCAGCATTAATTCAGAGATTATTTGAGGATCTACAGCTAAGGGATACACAAGTACAGTTTTGTTAATGGTTAAGGTACTTGAATGCATTTTTAAGGTTTAACTCCTGAGTTTAGTATCACTTTTTAAAAAGTTATTGAGAGTGTTTTGAGTTTTTTTTTTTATTCAATAACTGTACAGAAAAGCTGTTGACCCTGCCAGAGACCTTGTGAGCTGATAATTTCTGTACGGTCTGTCTCTGCTGCACAGTTATCCGTTGATATTGTACATAGCTCTTTCTATGTACATAAGACCGCCTTCCCCATATTATGGAGATGAGGAGGTATTTTGTAGTCCTGTCTTAGGTGGATAAAGCTACTCCCCTATAGATACAGTACGGTGAGTGAGATGTGCTGCTTGATGACAATAAGTGTGCTACTGGTAGGATCACCTGGTTAAAATACAGGAGAGAAATGAAAAAAACAAATGCAACCACCAACCACATCTGAGGCCCAGTAAACTGCAATATATTACATATTTGTACTTAGATACACTTTATTACACTTTCTCTACCTCAAGAGTTGGGGACCACTTGGCATACATGTGCCATGTTTTGAGTACAGGGCCCTATACTGTGCAAAACAAAAGGCTTAACAAAATGTGGTGCTAAGGCCATGCTATCAAGAAGACTAATCACTTGCAGTTTGTGGACCCAATTGTCTGATTTTTTTTTCCTGTCATGCTGTGCAGTCGCTCAATGTGGCTAAGATGCATAAAATAAAACTGTTTTAGTTTACCCTACATTTAAGAAATCCTGTCAATATTTTTTTACAGTGTTTCAGTATTACAATACAATGACATAAGTTGATTTCCCGTCATGTCAAAAAATTCTGTTTGCAAATGTTTTTTATTTCTGCTCAGAGATGCCAAATGCTGATTACCACATGTCCATTTCTATTGCTAATGCTTGTACGTGTAGTCTCATTAATTTTAATGGACATATTTGTTTCCTTATGTGACAATCTACCAAGGACATTTCCCTGATTCAATCACCAAGTTGGATTATACCCTGAAGCAAGTACTAGTATCCATTGAAGTTATTGTTTGACCAAATGAGTTTGCTTAGTCTTAAATTTGCAAATGTGCTGCTTTCAAATCCCCTAGTCATTCCAGTAACACCTGCAAAAATGTTGCTACGGTAATTATGATCCATCCATCATTATCCTTTTTGGAGCACATGCTATATATTCACATCTGACATTGTATCGCTTGTGATGGATCAGATTTGTAAAAAAGATGTGACAAAATAAACCAGCCATATTCTAATTTAGTCAAAGCTATATTCATAGCAATACCAACATAATGTTTGTGAAAATCATTATCAAAGAGTTATCTTATCTTCTTATCTTATTGATAAGAGCAAATAACTTTCAACCATGTGTTTATTAAATATATCTAAAGAAAATGATGCCTTGAGGTCCTTTTCACGTAGGCTGATCAGGAGAGGATCCGGCAACATATCCTCTCCTGATCAGAGAGGTATGGAGCAGATGTCACCGCTGTGACATCCGTGTCCGTAAAGGAAAAAAACTGAAAGTGCCAGGCCCCATGTCTGTCTATGGGCAATCTGAAGTAAACAGACATGCGCCCATTTACATCAGATTACCTCCGGTCCGGCACGATCCGCTCCGTCGAAACGGATCAATGATCTGTCTGTTTTATCGGTCCAAGCCGAAGCCGGGGCTAATTGGATGTAAATGGACGCTCGTCCATTTAAACCTGGCTGCCTATAGACTTGCATAGAGCATCCGACCGGGTCCGGCTGAAAAACTGGCAGGCGGACCTAATCGGACCACTCGACTGAAAGGGGCCTTAGAGGATACCTTTTGTTGGAAAAGGAAAAGTATCCTCTAAACCCCCTTCCCCCACTTCTTATGCTCACCTGTCCATGCTCTGGCCATATTTGCTCATCAGGATTTGCTTAATTGTCAAAATGACTGTCTTTTCTTCAGTGGAGGTACATTTTCTTAAGCTGCAGTGTTTTGTGCCAGTTAGAGAGCCAGCTGCCAAGTTAGACTTTAAAAATCACAGGCATTAAACAATGAGCATCAATGACATGCATACACTACACACAAGGCTACAAACCACAGGTCACAAAAATGCTCAGGTATTAGTCGTCATTCACACCTAGGCATTCTGTGAATGTGTGCCAAATGTGGGGAAAAATATCTGACTTGAAACACATTCACAGAAGGCATCAAAAACGTGCAACATGTTTGCAGTGCCATTACTTGTTAATTACTTGTTAAAAAACACACAAAGGTGTGCGGAAAAAAAACACAGGACGTGTGTAGCAGAATCTTCTACATGAGCTACTTTTCTGCAGTTATCACGTGTGCAGCACCCATTAGAATCATTGGGGACGCACAGCAAATGCAGGAAAAAACACACGCAAACATACACACGTGAGTGTAATATGTGTTCCCAGAATGCCTAGCGCTGAACGGGGACTTAGAGAAATACAAATTGCTTGTTATAATTCCTTACCAGATGTACAACACATGCATCTAGATATAAAGTTACAAATGTTGTTTCCATGCCATACAAATGTACAAATACAAATATTTAGCTGCTAGTTTTTTGTGCTGCTCTATTAATGGATCCTGTAATCATTATTGCAAATCATAATGTAACATATCGCAAACTGCAGTTGCTTGATGAATGCTGTTCACAGCAATCAGAGTTGAAATCCCTATGCACATTCTCAGAAATCAAGCTCCAGATACCCACTGTTGCATGAAGCAGAACAACAGCACAAACCTTAGTATATGCAAGTTTAAACTATGTTAGTTGGCAAAATAAGCTCCTTATCGCACCTTATATTCATGGACGTGAATGTGTCTGACATCAATGTTTAAATTGATTTTTTTATTTTTCCTTTGCAGCAATCTATTTAGAGAATCTTAGTGGGTACTCTATATCAATCAAGCAAAGGTCAGCTGATCAGGGGAGATGAGTATAGTGTGCAAAGTACACTCACCTTGGTGTCTTTGAATTTTCGGTTCATCAGTAGTTGTTTTAAATCTTTTTAGTTTTGGAAAGAGGAGAGGAAAAAATACAATCTATGTCAGTTTTATATTGATGTGACCTCATCAGATAGATTTTGTTGCACTTCTTGCCCCCTATAGATATTAGAGTACATGCAAATCTCCCAAAACTAGGAGAAATTCTGATCATTTTCACCAGAACAGGTATTCTAACTGGTATACCTTCTACTCCTGTTCCAGTGACAAACATAACATTTATGGTTCCCTCCTACTTTTTTCTTGGTGGCATTGGCCCCAATAATTTATTTATATAGCACTAACAATTTACACAGTGCTTTACACACTGCACATTCACATTATTCCCTGCCCTCAAGGAGCTTACAATCTAGGGTCCTTATGTCATATGCACAGATACACAAACAAATTTAGACAGGAACCAATTAACCTACCAGCATGTCTTCAAATAATGGGAGGAAACCAATAACCTACCAGTATGTCTTTGGAGCATATGACTGAGTGTAAATATAGCACTTTTTAGCAGTACTGTTTAGCATTACTATTAGTACAGTTGCAACTATTTCTCCCTGAAAAAACTCTGTAATCTCTTCCTATCTGCTCCAGGCCTCTCCAACACAACTTGACTAAAGGCTGCTGGGAACCATGACTTTTAAAGGGAGGGGGTTGTAACATAAGGAAACCCCCATGATTGGCCCTTCTAAGCCACATAATCATAGTTCAGAAGCCAGGAAGTGCATACTGTGATAATGTGTAAATTACCTTTTATGAAATTATTATTTATACTAGGTCTCTGCTGCCTATAGACACATACCCACTGTGCCTAATGGTAAAGCCAGCCCAGAGTGCATGCTAAAATTTAAACGAGAAGATTGAACAGCTTCATGTGTCTACTGTCTTTTTTTCTCATGTAAGCATTCATATATTCTTTTATTTTCTTACCGAAGTCAAGAATGTGTGTGGTTGCATCTGGTTGCTAGTACTAACAGAGACACCTTTTCAGACCCCTTTGATAAAAGAGGCTTTCTTACTTTGGTATGGATTACATACTATCTCATTTTTTCCTTTCTCTTTACTTCCATTATTTTTCTTTAGGAATGTATTATCACAGCATCAAGCTAAATGACTCTGCTATGGAAGAAAAATAATTTGATTTTACCACATTTATACCAAGAAGCAAAAATCATGAAGACTTTTGCCAGCCTTCAGGTATTTGTTTTGGCCTTATTTTCCAAAGGAGCTTTGCTTTCTTCAAATGATCACAATTTTGTGAGGAAAGAAATAAAGATTGAGGGAGACCTGGTCTTAGGAGGTTTATTTCCAATAAATGAAAAAGGCACAGGAAGTGAAGAATGCGGCAGAATCAATGAGGATCGAGGTATCCAGCGTTTGGAAGCCATGCTGTTTGCTATTGATCAGATTAACAGAGACAGTACACTACTACCCGGAGTAAAACTAGGAGTTCATATTCTGGATACCTGTTCTAGGGACACTTATGCTCTGGAACAGTCACTGGAGTTTGTAAGGGCTTCATTGACCAAGGTGGATGAGGCAGAATATGTGTGTCCAGACGGCTCACTTGCCATACAAGGAAACAGCCCATTACTTATCGCCGGAGTCATTGGTGGCTCCTATAGCAGTGTCTCCATACAGGTAAGTCACTTTATATATGTTTTACTTCTTGCAAGAATATGTAATATATTACAATGTTCTCTGTTTTTTTAATACATAGATAACTTCCATATTATAATCATTTTCTTAAAATGTCTTACACAAAATATCCCCTATCATAGGTTTGGGCTATTCAAGCAGTACACTTTTTGTGCTAGCTGTGCATTTTTCTGAATTGCACATACATGGAAAAATCATATTCAGATTGTTATTAAAAGGAAGTCAGAATTCCTGCAATGTAACAAATTGTCAGGTCTGTCGCCTTTCTTTATCTAGACATTAGGTCCTGCTCTGCACATATTTAAAATGCAGAGAACAGATAACAAATGGCATATTTAAAATTTTAAGGAATATAATAATAGAAAGTGTGCCAGTGCTGTAAGAAAACATAACAACATTATTAGAAATTTGTGGTCGCTCTTAAATCAGTAGAAGGAACATTCCAAAAAAATTCAGCTTTACAATATTTTCTGTATTATAGTAAAGCTAAAATAATTAGCTAGTCTGCTGACCAAGCAACACAGTCATTCTTTATGTCTTCTGCATATGGGTAGTTTAAATGGAGATTGGTGCCAAGATTTCCCACTACACAGAATAATCTAAGCTGCTATCTTGTATCTGGCGAAAAATATAGTATGTATGTATGTATGTGTTAAAGCATTAAACTAACACTTGATATTATCATGCACACTGACAATTTCTGTATATCCACCCAACTAACAAAACACTAGTATAACAACTATTGTTAAAATGTCTACCTTGTGCATAATAATATTTGGAATCATGAACATGTACTGGTACATGCTATACAAAGCCACTTAGAAAAGTAATGATCGCTATATAGATAATAGCTACCTATAAAGTGTCTACATATACACCGGTGGGTCTCCAGATAGTCAATGAACCCAAAAACCTCAGAGTCATGTAAAAGATAAGTCATCAAAGAAACTGTATATATTGACAGCTGAGTTCATGGAGAAACTTTTTGATCTTTTTGATAATTGAGCTGCCTTTGGTTACTATCAGGAAAAAAATTTTTTGCTTGTAGATTTATCTGTTGTTCTATCCTGACATACTGTAGTTCCCCTCTTTATTTCTATCCGTCTTGGGATTTTGAGTTTTGCAGTGCACTTTAGGGTATCTTCACTTTTTCTCTTATAGATAATAAAGGAACATTCCAACAGATGTGTTGAGACTTCATGATAGTAGCTGTAGTTAGTGTACAGATATGGCAGTTCAGCTGAAGAACATGGGAGGTATAAGAAACCATACGCTGGTTTCTAACCTTCTAGCTCTTTACCAGACATTCAAATATCTATTTTGGATAGACTGACCCATTCGCTTGCTAATATTTAAAACTGTTGCCTGTGCTACGTTTTTGTTATTTGAAAACAGTACACACTCATTGCCATTGCCATTTATCTCTGCACCATCGACATGATTTCTAACTACAATAAGCACATACACATTTTAACTGTCACTAAATAGTACTGATATTATATGTATTAGGTGACAACATAATGCTGGCACCATTTGAGTAATTACAGATGTTTTATCAATGATACTCTGTCATTCACAAGAAATATCCCAATTGACCTCATGAAAAATTTTGTCCGAGAGCTGGATGTCACAGAAGGACAAAACTAAAATATGTTTCTAATTTCGGGTGATCTCTGTGGACTAGACCTACAGCTTGAAAAATGACAACACTTAGAGAAAATCTTTCAGGGAATGTAATGCTTGATGAACCATGTGCTCCCTTAGTACAGAGTACCATTTTCACTTCAATTAACTCAAGTTCACATTATTGACACATTTAAACACGGGCAGCTAGCAATTCTACAAGACACAAATAAAATGCAGTTATGTCTTTGAAAGCTGATATTTTTGGGTATTAAGTTTATTAATAGTACCTTCTAAATATACTGGAAGGTTTTCTGCTATGTGTTGATTCCAAAAAACACTTAAATGACCCCGTCATGTGCCACAAAAATCTTGTTTTCCTAAGATTGTGTTAAAATACAGATGTGAACATAGATTCCTCTTTTTTGATGAGGAAATTAACTTTGACTTAAGGTGTATGTATAGTTAAAACATTTTTTAGCCTTGGATAGAGTAGGAAAGGGTTAAAATCCTAGTTAAAAAAATTTTTTAGTCTTGGATGGAGTAGGAAAGAGTTAAAATTCTTGTAGGTCTGATTCTTTGCTGTCTTCACTGCAAAGTGAAGGAACCTCCCCTCTTAGTTGGAATATGTGTCCTCAGTGGAAGATTTAACTCATCTCTTGTTTTGATGACAACTTTAAAATGTAAGGTTTTCTGTCACTTTATGTATTGGCAACTAGGGATGCACAGATACCAAGGTCTCGTACTTGTACATGCAATGATACCTTTCCAGCTCCAAGATTAGACTAGAAAAAAACTCAAAAGTTAGGTGGCAGCTGTCATTTTTAAGGATCATTGGCTACTGGGCTCCTGGGATTTGTGCATCCCTGTTTTAATGTATGATTTGTTTTATATACACATATATTAAAAGTGCACCGATACCATTTTTTCCATGCCAAGTACAAGTACCGATAGTTGTCCAAGTATTCACAGATACCAATTACTGATACATTGTTGTTCAGTGTCATGTGACAGTTTTTCTAAAACACTACAGACTAATGATTTCAGGACAGTGGTGGAGCTCCAGGACCCAGTAACATCTGCAACCGCTGCGACCCTGGTAGTTCTCGTGAAAATGCCAAGTATGGGCACTGATATCTGAACTGGTATCTGTGCATCCCTATTGGTAACAATGGTACCAGGACAAATATAGAGGTTTAATCTACCTAACAGGGAAATAGAAAGACAAATAAACTTAACAGGGATTCTAAAACTACAAAACAAAACAACAAGTGAACATCTCCTTTACTAAGTGAACAGTCTGTTCTCCCTAGGTAAATCACCACAATAGTGCTGTTTACTAGGCAGTACTGTAGCTGCAGCATTATGGCAATTTGACTAATAAGAAACAATAGTAATTTAATGTTGTCTAATTCTCAGTGTAGTTCCCAGGGCTCCTGCCACTTCAACAAATTTGGTTGTAGTGGGCAGCTCTATTTTTTTCTTTTTGTTCAATCATGATATCGTGTAACATTAATTGTACAATAATCAGACTCAGCCAACTTTCAAAAAAGGTACATATTTTAGATTTAGTACAGAAATCATCAGGATTCCCTAACGTAGAGGTCAAGCTGTTCCACTGAACATTTGATTAATCAAAGTCAATATTCTAAATGAATTAACTAAAGTGAAACTCCAGGCTAGCAGCACAGTTAACACAGTTAACATACATATATGGGAACAATTTTACCTACCAAATCATATCATGCTAAGTTGGCCATTGTAGGGAGATTCAACCTCTGTACGTTTGCTACCAGGACATAAAGTAATGGGAAATACAACATTTTATGGCTGTCATCAAAATAGGAGTTGAGGGAACACTTACTCTGGTGACAACTGTATAAAAGGGATAGTTGCAGGCAGTTTCTCCCAATTCACGTTGTGTTTTCTAGTGAGAAAGTAAAGGGAATCCCAATGGGATAATGGGATACAGATATGGAAAAAAACTGACAGGGGTTTTCACCATTACCCACTCTTTGCAAAACAAATTAATGGAAAATGATGCTAGAGGCACACTGTAATATACACTACCTGGCCAAAAAAAGTCCACACCTAGATTTAGCTAAGCAAACAGGTAAGATCCTTTAATTAGATAATTACTGCAGTTTTTATGTTTAATCTGGCAACAAATGAGGTCAGCTGCCTACTTGAATATACTGAATGACCAGGTTTTTCCCTCAATTAATTTTTTCTTCCCTGATGAAATGGGCAGATTCCAAGATGACAATGGCAGGATTCATCAGGGTCAAATTGTGAAAGAGTGGTTCAGGGAGTATGAGACATAATTTTTACACGTGGATTGGCCACCACAGAGTCCAGACCGTAACTCTACTGAAAATCTTTGGGATGTGCTGGAGAATACTTTACACAGTGGTCCGACTCTCCAATCATCACTACATGCTCTTGGTGAAAAATAAATGCAACTCTGTACCGAAATTAATTTTGTGACAGTGCATACGCTTATCCAAATGATGCCACAGTGAATGTGTGCTATAATCAAAGCTAAAGGCGGTCCAATGAAATATTAGAGTGTGGTTTTTGTTGCCAGCAGTGCACATTTGGAACCTTAATTCGTTTGTGGAAATATGTATGGAAAACACCCACATTCACAAACACATTTTTTAATATTCACTTGTGTAACTCCAAAAGAAAATGATAAAAATGTAAATTCTTAAAGCCTTGTAACCCGCAGCTGTGGAGTAACACACTTCTGGACCCTTGTAGATAGAAAAAATTATTACCCATGGAAACTGTTGCTTTTTCATGACTTGCAGAGTTAATGAGCTTTGTAGAAGCACTGCATATCCCTATATCTATTGAGTTATTAGCAGGATATTACTGCTGAAACCCAACTTGTTAAATCAGTAGTTTCTATTACATGGCCTGGCAGGAAAAATGATGAGAGCACTACTAATTTCCACAGCAGGTGATGAGACGCACTATGCTTCTCAGCCAGTACATGTGATGGAAGTTAACTGCTATGCTATTGCTAATACATTTTCTTTCTGTTACAGACCTGCTCAATCAAGTAAGGATTTAGTTTAATTAGGTTTAAAGAAATAGTAATAGATCTAGTATTATTTCATCGGTTTTAGCAGTATACTTAATGCAGTAGAATTTTATTGCTGTGTGTACATTTTTCTTATAATGAATAGAATAAAAAATAAACTACAAAATAAATGTTCCTTTATGAGATTATTGACCATAGTGAAATTATTATTTACCCAGGAAAACTAATTTTACATTCACATGGATGTCATACGACTTATGAGCTCTCTACCGGGTTCTACATTATACTGATGTATCAATTATTGGCTATA